TTAACTCAGTGGTGCCACCTGCCTCGAAAGTGTAAGGTCCCGAGTTCGATCCTTGGTATCAAAAAAAAGAAAAAACCAAACTACTGCTTGAAGTGCCACACGGGTGCCATTGCGTGTGCATGTGTGTGTGTGTGTGTGTGTGTGTGTCGGGGGGTCGGATGTTTGGGTGAAATCGTTTAGGGTTCAGGGCTGGGGTGTGTCTCAGTGGGGAGCACTTGCCTAGCACATGTGAGACCCAGCGTTCTGTTCCTAGCAATGAAAAAAAAACCCCAAAACCAGGTTAAAATGAAATTTTATCTTAAAGCGACATATTTAGTGCATATTAGAAAACATGCTAGATCTACTTCTATATCTCCTGCGTCTCCAACCTGTCATCTCAGAGGTGTTTCTCAGGAGAGACTAAATTTAGTTGTACTTTGAAAAAAAAAAAGATTTGTTTTCAGGTAAAAAGTTAATGGGGAAAGACACAATGCTCTGTGAACGGCGACAGATCGGACACCTGTCTCCCGGCCCTACCATCCGGGATGGGCCCCGGTAGTCAGAGAGAGCCCTGGGGACCCCGAGACTTAGTGGGAGGGAGACGGGCCCATGGGGCCGGGGGGAGTCCTGCAGGCCTCCGACAAAGCCCAGGCCCTGAGGTGGGAGGAGCCCAGAGCCCAGACTTCGGTCGCTGTTTGGGTCGGGTCACTGCTCCTGAGGAAGCCGGGGTGCTCTTGCTGGCCTGGTCCTAGGTCGTGGTTGTGCCAGGTGACCCCTGACCTCTAAGGGCTATCACCCGGGCTGGCTCCTGCCTGGTGGGGCCTGAAGCCATGAGCTGAGGCCTCCCCCAGGGGACCTGCCCACCCCAGGAGTAGCCTCCCCCTTGCCCAGCTTCCAGGGAGGACCTTCAGACCCTTGTTCACATGAACATGGGCAGGCGCGTGAGTGTGTACATTCATGTGTGCGTGTACATATGTATGTGTGTGTGTTGCTGTGCGTCTGTGCAGGCTGGGTGGGCAGCAGCTGAGCTCTGGCTGTAAGCTGTGACCCGGTTGCTTTCCAGGGCTGTGACCTTGAACGTGGCCTCTGGCTTCCTTATGCCTGCTCTGTGACCACAGGCTGCACCACGGGGTGTGGATGGTGCCAGCTGGCACTGCAGTGCTGCAGAGACAGCCCCTCCACCCATGCTGCAGGGCACCCTCATGAGGCTCCAAGGCGAGGGAGACCCGGCGTGTCGTTCAGCCGGGCCACAAGTGTGTGTGGGGCCGGCCAGGCTGGCGTGGCCCAGCCCCTCTCAGCCTGGGTCTGTTGGGGAAGAGACCACCCACAAACGATTGCTTTGTCACTCAGCCGTCCTGTGCCCACACCAGGACAGCGGGAGAGGGTCCTGTGTGCAGAGCCCCAGTGGGTCTACCTGGCCCGGGGAGGGGTCTGGCTGGCATCCCTGGGGCGGTGGCCCCGGAGCTGAGTGCGAGTCCTCCTAACCGGGCAGGAGGAGGAGGACGCTGAGATGGGAGAGGCCGGGCCTGGGGGAACTGAGGGTGGGGTGGGGTTGTGGACCCGGTCTGGGCTGGGCCTCTGCCTGGGTTTTAGGCAGTGGGGAGTCACGGCAGGGTTAGCAGGGTTGGGGCTGTGGGATCTGATTTGTTTTTAGATCATGGAGGCTTCTGGGAGGACAGGGAGGGTGAGGGGTCCCGACCAGGGTGGAGGTAAAGGAGAAAAAGGGGGTCAGGTGGTACCAGGTGCCCCAGGGTGCAGCCCCCCAACACTGCCAACTAGGGTAGCTCCAGGGCCAGCGGGTGCCATGCAAAGGTTTGTTGATTGAATGCCACTGGGGACTGTGGCCGGGATTGGGAGTGGCGGCCATTTCTGCTGTGATCCCAGGGGCCCGACAGTGGGGTGAGGTCCAGTTCTCACTGGGGCTTGCCTGCTTTCCGGCACACACCCCACAGGGTTCCCACACCCCGCGGGACACAGACAGGACTGTGACAGCTGGCCTTACCCACCCCTGCCTGGGCCCTTGCATGTGGGCGACTCGCAGTGGCCCCAGTCCTGCCCCAGAAGGATCTGGAGAGGGGCCCATGGCTGTGTTGCGTGCTGAGATTCTGGAAGCTTGAACGAGTCTCAGGCTCTTGTCTGTCTGGTGTCTGCAGGTTCTGCTGCCTCTCTTGCATTATACATCAGCAGAGCCGTCACTGGCATATACCTGTCATCCCAGCAACTCAGGAGGCTGAGGCAGGAGGATATCGAGTCCAGGCCTGGGCAATTTAGTGAGACCCTGTCTCAAAAGAGTAAAAAAGGGCTGAGAACATAGAGCCCCTGTACTCAATCCTGATTTTAGTCAGAAGCGGGGAGAGGGTGACGGGAGAGGCACAGTGAGCAGTGCCCACTTGGGGTCTGGAAGAGAGGTGGCCGAGGGAGCAGGATGTGGTCTGTGAGTTGGACTCAATTCACAGTGTGCGGCTGCAGCAGACGAACCTGCTGTGGGGCGCCTGGAGCCCACAGGGTGCCAGGAGCTCAGCTGGCACCAGTCGGTGGCAGGCCTGGTGGCATCTGGGCTGGGACCTTTTCTGTCCCCCGGTGCATTGTGGGGTAGGCTCAGCACTTGCAGGGCGGGGTCTGAGTTCACCCCAGCTGGAGCTCATGGTCAGGGGACAGACACCATGTAGCCGTTATCACTGCATGGGTGACCTGGAAAAGAAAATGAGGTCACACGCGGGCTGGCAGGTCCGCCGGTTCTAGGGGTCCCCTCTGGCCTGACGCTGGTGTCCGGAAGTTCCTGCGTGTGCCGCAGGTGATGAGTGTGAATGCAGCTCTCGGGGATGGCGCTGGCTGTGGCTGAGCCAGGACCTGCTCTCCTGGGGCCTGGGTCAGAGAGTGACTTCCGTTCTTTGGAAGTGAGAGGGGCCTTTGCCAGTTTGCTTTCAGCCTTTTTTGTTTGTTTTGAGACAGGGTCTCACTATGTAGCCCAGGCTGGCCTCGAATTTATGGAGATACTCCAGCCTCAGCCTCCCGAGTGCTGGGATTGTGGGCGTGCCCACCTCGCCTGCTGCTTTCTGCTTTTTGAACCAGGTTTTCTGGGCTAGGGGTGGAGCTCAGGGGTAGAGCACTTGCTCAGCGAGCACAAGGTCCTGCTTCTGCCCTCAGTACTGCAAAGATCACAAAACCAAAAGTACTTTCCCAAGCAAAAGTCAGGGTCAGGAGGGGACAGCAGTGGGGCCCAAGAGCCCGTGCCCCTGGGAGATTTGGGCGGGGCCTCTTGCCCTGTCCTCCCTCCAGGACAGCCACGGCACTGGCGGAGGGGCAGAGGCTAACCTGTGCAGCCTCGGCTGCAGGGACTTGGGGGCGCTTTGCAAATCTGAGGCTGAGCGCTGTTGGGCTCCCTTGGAGCGGATGCACTCGCTGGACAGGTGACATGTAGGCAGATGTCCCCTAATGAGGGAACAGAAGATGGGCAATACCATGCTCTAACCCTTCTTCCTCCGAGGCCGTTCCGTGGGCACACGTGGCTGACTTCTAACGCACATAGGTCAGGGTCACTGCGTGTGGTCACCACGGTGCAGCCAGCATCACCACTGCCTCCAGGTGTGTCCCGGGAAAGTGCCTCCCTTCCTCCTCCGCCGGCCCTGTGGCCCCTGGTCTCCTCGGGTTTCTGTAAACCCAACTGCGCCAGGCGCCCCACGTAATGAGTGGAATCCTACACTATTTGTCTCTTCGTGATGGACACAGTGTCACGGGCACAGGGCGCAGTGTGGTATTGGGTGTCAGAGTTTCCGTCCCTTTTAAGGCTCAAGGATATTCCATTGTGTGGGTGGACCTGCATTGTCTTTTTTGTTGCTTGTTTGTTTGAGACAGGGTCTAGCTCAGTAGTCCAGGCTGGCCTTGAACTCACAGTGATCCTCCTGCCTCAGCCTCCCAGGTGCTGGGATCACATCTGTCTGTCATGGACACTTGGGTTGCCTTCTCCTTTGGCTCCATGGAGTCACACAGTGAACAGGAGTAGATAAAAGCAGCTCTTCCGGGAGAGTGCCCTGGTGAGGTTGGTGTGCAGGCACAGTGCCCTGAGCTTGGATTTTACCACCGGGCCCAGGCAGAAACAGGAAGCAGGAGTGAGGCTGTACTAAAGCTCCTGGGGAGGGGGTCTCCTGCACCCTCATTTGCATTCTTTCTTTTCCTGCGGGCTGGGGTCGAGTGGCTGTGAGGGTCCCGGAGTCTGTAATGCTGCCCCTCTTGCAGCCTGGGGTGGCCCCACAGAGGCTGAGCCCACAGCCATGTTGGAGAGGGGTCTCTGTCCCGTGTCACCCAGGCCAGGCTGGCTGGTCCTCTTCCTTCTGAGGGTCGTCACTGTAACCACACCTGACCCCAGTGTCCTGGAAGGAGGGCGGCTCTGAGGCCAGGGCGGTTCTTGCTCCACAAGAGGGTCAGCGGGGGGTCCCGCTGCATCCTCTTCGGACCTGGGGAGCCTCCCTGGTGCCCGCTGTGGCCTGAGTGAGGCCAGGGAGTCCAAACCCCCTTGCGGTAGAGGTGAGGGCCCCGGGCCCTGGCTGGGGAGGAAAGGCTGGAGTCACCCCCTTTTCCCAGATGAGGGAACGAAGCCCAGGGGGGTGGGCATTGGCCTGAGGTCACACGGCAACCAGCTACATTCAGCCTGGGGCCTGGCTTGTGTCAGGCTTTGTCATCCCTGGTGACCGCCAGCAGCTCCCTCCAGTGACAATCCTGCATGAGGGCAGACGGCAGGGTTTCCCCAAATCCCAGTGGGATCCTGTCCTGGCCTCCCATGGTCTCAGGACTGAGGGAGCAAGTGCTGGCCGGGTGTCATTTGGGCTAGTGCCAGGATTCCCCAGTCTGGTGTCTGCTTCCGATGTCATCTCCCTGTCTGTCCCCTGCTGTGCAGTGCTGAGCCCTGAGGACAAAAGGGCCCGGGTCCCCTGTGTCCGTCCTGTCCTCCCTGGCTCGCCTCGGGGGTGCAGGGAGGCCCCGCTGAGTGAGTGAGTCGGTGACATGGCCTTACGTGTCTGCAGGTCCAGCTGGGAGCTCCCCGACCTGCAGGAGGGCAAGATCGAGGCCATCAGCGACTCGGATGGGGTGAACTACCCCTGGTACGGCAACACCACGGAGACCTGCACCATCGTGGGCCCCACCAAGAGGGACTCCAAGTTCATCATCAGCATGAACGACAACTTCTACCCCAGTGTCACGTGGGCCGTGCCCGTGAGTGAGAGCAACGTGGCCAAGCTGACCAACATCTACCGGGACCAGAGCTTCACCACGTGGCTGGTGGCCACCAACACGTCCACCAATGACATGATCATCCTGCAGACGCTGCACTGGCGCATGCAGCTCAGCATTGACGTGAGCCCCACTCGGCCCCTGGGCCAGCGGGCCCGGCTGCGGGAGCCGATTGCACAGGACCAGCCCAAGATCCTGAGCAAGAACGAGCCCATCCCGCCCAGCGCCCTGGTCAAGCCCAACGCCAACGATGCGCAGGTCCTCATGTGGCGGCCCAAGTACGGGCCTCCGCTGGTGGTCATCCCACCCAAGCACCGATGACACCTGGGCCCCGGGCCGGTGCCAGGTTAGCCTCAGAATAACAACTCGGCTCAGAACAGAACCAAACGCACTCTTGGGTCATTCAGCAGAATACAACCATTCTACCTTCTTCTCCAGCGGGCGGCCTCACTGTGCTCCCCCAATGCCACCCACTCTTGGCAACTGCTTCCTCTGGGGGACGGGCCAGACCCAAGGCGCCCCGAGCACTCCCCTGTGCCTCCCCTCCCCACCGCCTGTCTTTCACGTGCAGGTGGCTCCCGGAAACACTGGTCGTTCTTTTCAGTTCCTCTGGGTGTGGGGCTGAGGGCCGGGCTGACGGCAGGGATGCCACGGCTCTGTGCCGTTGATGTGTTGGTGGCTGTCCCCTCCCACCCGCCTTGTCCTCTGCCACGCGGCCTTATGTAGACTTGCTTTGCCAAACTTTTGCCTTAAGCTGAATTTAAAGAAAAGAGAAAGATCACAGGATCCTGTTCCCGCCAACCTCTCCATCTTCCCCAGAGGTGGAGGGAGGGCTGGCGGATGCGCGGTCATAGCCCCTCTGCTGGTGTCTGGGAGAGGGGGCAGAGGGAGATTAACCCTAAAACCAGCCGTTTGCTCTTTTGTGTTGGCAGAGAAAACCACAGGCAGATTTTGCCTCGGAGCGTCCCCCCACCTGCTGAGGGGCCAGGAGCTGGGGACAGGACGCATCTTGGGTGGCTTCTGTCTTTCCGCAGCCTTAACTGGCCTGCTGGCTAGAGGAGGAGTGGGGAGGGTCCTGGGATGGTCAGTCTCACCCCTCTGTCCCCAGGCCCCACCCCAGCCCGTCCACCGTCCTCCTAGGTGGGCTTGTCCCTTTCCGTCCGCACCAGTCCCAGAGGCCTGGGGCCACCCGACCCCACTGCCAAGACAGCCCCAGCCTGGCCTCTGGTTCAGGAAGAGATCCATGTCCCTTGTTGCGCTATATCTGAAGACTTGAATCTGGTGGGCCCCTCGCCCCGGCCGCCACCTCTAGGGCACTGCAGGGAGCCAAGACGGGGCGCCTGGCTCGTTCTCAGGGGAGGCCACCCCCAGGCTGTCTGGGGGAGGCTGCACACAGGCCCCGAGCCTGGGCGGGGTGGGGGAGGCCACCTGGCACCTGCCGGGAGAGCGAGTTATGGGCCCTGTTGCCTCCCCTCAGGCAGGAAAAGTGGCGGGAGGCCGGGAGGGTGGAGCAGCACTGAGCCCTGGGGGTGCTGGGCCAGCCTGGCCCGTGGGTGGCCAGTCCCGGGGTCTACCCTCTGGGACCCTAGGACTCGGTCTGAGCAAAGCCAGGGTTCCTTAGTGCCAGCTCCCCGGAACTTCGGGGACACTCGCTGAAGCCACACTCCTTCAGGCTTGCCACGGCCCTGGCCACGTCAGGGCCACACTAGACTAACGACCAAGCACAGAAACTGTCAGGCCAGAAAATAATCCGTTTCCGCTGCAGATGAGCCACTTATAGGGTCTCCACGACAAGGAGAGTGGGGCACCTGACCCTTGCTGTTCCTGACACAGGGTCCTGGGGTCCTGAGTGCTTCGGCCTGGCCAGCGCAGGTACCCCCAAGGGCTCTGGGCCGAGCCACGGTGGCCGTGGGTACCTGGGAGCCCATGCCCTGAGCCTGGAGGGGCCGTGGCCTTGCAGGTGGGAGTGGGGGGCCCTGCACCCCTGCACTTGGCCCCCCGGCAGAGGGGCCCCCTCTACACTCAGGTCTTTTCTTGCATTAATGAGGAGATGGGCACTGGGGAGGTGTCAGGAAGCGAGGTTTTCATCCTGGGCTGGGTCACCACTGAGGGGTCTTCCTAAAAGTGGGGCCAGGTCCTCAAACCCACGTTTCTTTTTCATCTACTACTTGCTATGTAGCCCAGGCTGGCCTTGAACTCACAGTGATCCTCCTGCCTCAGCCTCCTGAGTGCTGGGATCACAGGGGTGCTCCACCACACCCAGTTCCAGACCGAATTTCTTGGTGGTGAATAAACACTTCAAAGTGAAGAATCCTCCCCTGCATGACCTGCCTCCCTCTAGCTCCCTTCACCTCAGCCCTCTTTTCTCCATCCGCTGCCTCGCTAAAGGTGGGATGAGGGAGACCCCAGGGAAGCTGCAGGTTGGGCTGGGATGCCAGCTTGGGCCGATCGCTTGGCCTCCTTCCTCTGGGAGCCCGGGGCTTCCTGCCCGGAGCCCCGGTCCTGCTGCTGCCCTACCCCCCACCCCCACCCCCGCCCGGCGCAGGGTGGACACTCATGCCTTCCAGCAATAAGAACCGTCCTCAGCTGCAGAGATTACTGTGAAACTGAACCAGTGCACTTACCAGAGGTGCAAGACTCTTGAAGACAATGTACAGTGAACCTTTTTTAAGATTTCAAATGAAAACACAGCAAATAAAATTAATTTTAAAGTACGCTGGCTGGGGTCTGGTGTTTGGCGATTCATGGTGCAGTGGCTGGGGGTGCTGGGTTCGGGGGAGAGGGTATGGGGCTGGTGTTGGGGTGCTAAGGGCCTGAAGCTGGGGGCAGCCAGGATGCTGCCCCGCCTGCCCTCTGTGCAGCCCTGTCTCCACCGGAGCCGGCTCTGAGACCAGAAGTGGCCCTGGCTGTGACTGTGGGCCCTGGTATCTGGCTCTTGGGGAGAGCCTGGCTGTTTTTTTGGTTTTGTTTTTGGAGACACGGTCTCCCCATGTAGTCCAGGCTGATCTCAAACTACAGCGATCCTCCCGCCTCAGCCTCCTGAGGGCTGGGATGACTGTTGTGTGGCACCGCATCTGACTCATGCATGGGTTCTTTTTTTTTTTTTGGTATCAGGGATCAAACTCCGGTCCTTGCACTTTCGAGGCAGGCGGCGGAACCACTGAGCTAAATCCTTGGCCCCATGGGTGGGGTTTTGACAAATACGTCAAGGGTGACTGTTTAGGTAGGGCCTTAATTCAGGTCACCCCTGCAACCTGTCTCATGGGATGACACCCAGGACCACCTCGGGCATGGGCTCTGCTGCCGAGCTTGGCCAGGAGCAGACGAAGGGCCTAGTGGGCTGCTGGCTTCTTCTGATCAGAACCTCATTGTGGGCCTGGCCTGGGCCACTTGAAGGAACTTGGCAGAAACAGCAGACCTCATGTGCACAGGGCCCTGGCTTGCACAGTCCCCTGCTCTGCACGGATTCTGGAAGGGAGCTCACCCCACGAACATGGCAGCCCTGTGAGGGAGGTGCTGTCCCTGAGTGACAGAGAAAACGGAGTAGGGCTCAAGACGCTGCCCTGGACACAGCTAAATAGAGGTAGAACCAGGATTCGATCCCTCACCCCAGAGCCAGGCTTTTACCACTGTGCTCAGCCTCATGGGTGTGAGACACGTCCAGTGGCCCTTGTTACTGGTACTATTACCAAGAACACCCTGCAGGCTTGTAATCCCAGCATCCTGGAAGGCTGAGGCAGGAGAATCACAAGGTTAAGCCCAGCCTGGGCAACTTATCAATTCAGACCCTGTCTCCAAATAAAAAATAAAAAGGGGCGGGCCGGGGATTTAGCTCAGTGGTTTCGCTGCCTGCTGCACAAGTGCAAGGACCCGAGTTCAATCCCCAGTACCAAAAAAATAAATAAATAAATAAAAAGGGCTGACGATGTAGCTCAGGGTGAAGGCCCTGGGTTTTATCCCGAGTACTAAGAAAACCCCCAGCCATGGCATCCTGGGTCCCAGGCAGGAAATGCCTTTCCCCCACCTCACTTCCTGGAAGTCTTCCTGCAGCCTCCTCCTGGCCCCAGAGCCCTGCTCACTCCCTGTGCAAAGCGGCGCCTGGTCACCTGCAGCCACAGCTCGTTCTGGGTGAGTGGCCGCCTCTCTGCAGCACTGTGGGGGACAGGACACCCCAGCACCCACTGCAGGTCTTGGGCCTTGGTTTCTTCTCTGGGTTCTCTGCGGCGCCTGCATCCTGCCTCCTCAGATTGAGACACCAAGGCAGGAAGTTGCATAACAGGCCTTGATGCCGCCCCCACCCAGACAGCTGCTGGGTGGTGCCAGCCACTGTTGTGGTTTGGCCTGGGGTTGTGGAGTCGGCTCCGGAGCGCTGCTGTGTGCGAGGTGCGTGCGCGCGCGTGCGTGTGTGTGTGTGTGTGTGTGTGTGTGTGAACCAACAGCCAGAGCAAGAAGCCAGGTGGCGTTGAGAACACGCATTTTCCACACCGCCTGCTGCCTGTGGGTGAGGGCAGACCCCGAGTCAGGGGCAGGGACCTGCAGGAGCCTGCAGAGGCTGTGGCTCCCAAGTGGCATTTGGTGGCCCTGGGGAAGCCGCCAGCCCCAAGCTGATAGAGAGTTAAATTTAGAATCCAGACTGGGCTGAGACAGACACCAGGCACGGCCCAGCTGTCACAGCTCCCTCCCGGGACCCTAGCCTGGCGGGGATGGGGGCTTCCCACCTGCTGAGATGTCGAGGGGGAGCAGCTGCTGGGGACCCCACATGCAGCACCTGCTGCCTTGCAAGCCACCCACAGCTCGGCTGCCCCACGGGACTCTGGTGCTGCTCCAGGATGGACAAAACTCCGCGTCAGGTCTGACAGAAAGGAACCCCTGGGGTCCCGGGAAGAGAGGAGACAGGGTCTCTGGGTCCCGACTCACAGCGGGCCGACTCCTGTCACCTCCAGCTGCCTCTACCCCATGGCCATCCCTGCGCTCTCTGGAGCCTGCATAGACCTGTCCAGCTGGCTGGGCTCTGGGCACTCGATGAAAGCACTCGATGATATCAACCAAAAGCTGCCCACTGCAGGCTGATGACACAGCCAGCCACGGAGGAGACCCACATCCTGGTGGCCAGCATGGCAGCAACCCAAGGCCCCCTGGCCACTGTTGGTCACATCTAGTGCTGCTGTTCCCTGTTCTCAGAGGAGGAAGCTGGGCCCAGAAGGGACCTAGGGGACCTACTAAGGGTCACCAGGCTAGGAAGTTGCAGAGCTGGGCTGGCTTCAAATACAGCCTTTGACCCACTTTGTCTGGGCCACCTCGCAATGCCAGGCAGGAGGTCCCCAGAGAGCCCCAAGCACTGGAGACTTTTATGTATTGATGTTGTGCAGGACTGAGGACTGAACCCTGGGCCTTTGCCCTATTTTACTCTTATTTTGAGACGGGGTCTTACTAAGTCACTAAATTTCCCAGATTGGGCAATCCTCCTGCCTCAGCCTCCCAGAGTTCTGGGATTACAGGTGTGTAGCACATACCTGGCTAGCTCTGGAAACTTTCCAATGTGAGAAAAGCGGGTGAACCGATAAACTCTGTCTTTGCCTGTGTCCAGAGAGGTAAACCCCCAAATCAATTGTAGTTCTGGCCGAGGCCAGTGCATTCCTGTCCCTGAGACAGTGCGGCTGGGAATGCAGGGGCGGGATTAATTCCCCCAGCGGCTCAAGCCCTGGCTCGAATTTTATCAGACTTTTAGCATCAGATGCCGGGCCGTGCAGCTGGGTGTTTACAGCCCGTGAGACGGGGCAGAAGCCCACGCTATTCCTGGCTGCCACTTGTCCTGCGGAGCAGAGTTGAGTCACCTGACCCTGAATGCCTGAGTTTCCTAATCCCAGGCTGAGACGCCACCCGGGCTGTTCTTCCTGGCCAGGCGGCAAAGATGGGGAGAACATGCTTTGTATCACATGTGTATGAGGGAGCAGCATCCCGGAGACCCCGGGTCATCTTGAGGACTAGAGATGCCCTGTTGGTTAAAACTCGTTTTAAAATTTGAGCCAGGGCTTCACTCAAACTTGTGGTGATCCTCCTGCCTCAGCCTCCGAAGTGCTGGGGTGACAGGTGTGCTCCACCACGCCCAGCTCCAGACAGGCCTTTCTTTAAATACTATAGCTAAATTTGTCTGGTGCATCCGGGGAACTGAGGCCAAGCTTGGTTATTTATTTAGGATTCTCAGCTTCCCCAAGAAATACACACCAAGTGCTGGTCAGGTGGTCAGTGAATATTGCAAAGGTCTTTTCCACAGGTTTATTGGGATATAATTCACACACCACCCAATTCTCCTATTTAAAGGGGATGAGGCTGGGTGGATCACAAGTTTGAGCCCAGGCTGGGCAACTTAGCAATTTAGCGAGATCCTGTCTCAAAATAAGAAATAAAGGCCCAGGGATTTAGCTCAGCGCTTTCGCCACCTGCTGCCCAAATGCAAGGACCCGAGTTCAATCCCCGGAACCAAAAATAGAAATAAAAAGGGATGGGAATGCAACTTCAGGATCAAGGTCTTGGGTTCAATCGCCAGTACTGCCGCTCCCAAATTATTCAGTTTCTGGTCCACCCTGCAAGTCTAAAACTACACTTGTTAAACTCCCTGTGCCCCTTCCCCGCCCTGGCAACCACTCTTCTACTCAGAGTCCATGAGCTTGACTGCTCCTCCTTGGGGTCCGGGGTCCGCCCAGGGCTCACCTCTTGTCCCCAAAGCACGTGGTGTCGGCTCCATTCCTGCCAAGGGCTCACGATGCCCTGAGCCACCTCTGCTGCCCCTGCCCTTGCCCTGCACTGCTGTTCAGTGTTGGTCAACTGGGTCTGCTGGGCAGAGACACACGGTGTAGCCGAGCTGGACTCCAGGGCGACCTTTGGGAAGGTCTGTCAGAACACCCATGGGGGGTGCTTACAGGTGTGACCTTGGGCTTCGAGTCACTACTTTTTTAACATTGATTGATTGATTGATTCCAAAGTCACTAAGTTACCCAGGCTGGGCTAGAACTTGTGACCCTCCTGCCTCAGCCTCCCCGAGTCCTGGGATGATGGTCATATGCCATCATGCCGGCTCCCGATTCTTTTCATCCAACAGGGCCATTGCAAGAGGTGGAGGGACAGTGTGACCGGCGGGCAGCACTGGGGCTCCTGTTGACACAGGTGACAGCTGTCAGCATGGCCAGGTTGGGCAGAGCTCTGGGGACTTCCTGCCTCCACAGCCACAACCCCTGCGGGCCTCAGACAGCAAGGCAGAGCTTTCCCTGTACCCCGGGGGCTTCCTGTCACCAGCGGCCACTTCCTGTGAGGCCTCTGCATCTGTCCCCAACACAGCCCTCGGCACCCACACCAACACCGGCCTGCGCCAGCTGCCCCTGCCCTGAGGATCCTGCAGCACCTGGCACAGGAAGCCGCTGTGAGGTTGGCGAACGGAAGCTGGGAGCCGGGGGCTGGGCTAAATCCGCTTCCGCCCACTTCCCCCCTGGGAGAGTCAAGGGACAGGAAGCCCTGGACGGTTCCACCTCCTCAGAAGCAGGACAGGGGTCTCAGAGCACAGGTGCAAGCACCCCGGAAGTGGCTCCTGCACACAACGCCCTTAGGCATTGGTCACACAGGGCCCCGCCAGGTATCAGAGGACCTTCACCCAGGGTGGCTCCTGCCTCGGCACCTGGGATCTGACCTGCCCAGTCAGAATTCCTTTTGTTTGGTTTTGGATTTTGCTTTTTTGAGACAGGGTCTTACTGTGTAGTTCAGGCTGGCCTTGAACTCAAAGTGATCCTCCTGCCTCAGCTCCCAAGTGCTGGGATCATAGGCGTGTACTATTGTGTCTGGTGTGTACAGCAACTTTATTTGTAATAGTCCCAAACTAGAACAATCCAGTGCCCATCCACAGTGAGTAGATAAATGGTAGTTATCCATCTAATGGGATATTGCAGTGCTTGGTATGAAAAGGGCCTAATATTGAGAAACTCATCAACACTGAAAACTGTAAGATATTGCTGATTGAAATGAACGCTTACACCAGACATAGTGGCACATGCCTGCAACCCAGTACGCAGGAGGCTGAGGCAGGAGGATTGCTATGAGTTCAAGGTCAGCCTGAGTGCATAGTGAGATCCTGTCTCAAAAAAAAGAGGAAAGAAAGAAAGAAAGCAGAAGGGAGACTATCATCAGACAAGAGGAAGAGAACTATGGCAAGGGGAAGGGTATAAGGTAGGTAACGGGTAGGATGGATGTGGTCATAATACATTAGACACATTGAAACCTAACAAATGTGAAGCTAGGCTGCTAAAGGGTCACGGGCTGGGGATGATCAAAATCCTTATGAGCACATAGACCTGCCACGGCGGGGTCCATTAACTGGGACTGCCAGCGCCCACAATGTTGATGATGCCCAAGACATGCTGCAGGCAGTGCAGGCTGCAAAGAGTTAACTCCCTCCATTGGGCTCCTCTAAGAAGCGAGTCTGACTGAAGCTACGTGACTCACAGAAGCATCTCCTGAGCACTGCGGTAGCACGCAGGTTAACATGACCTCCTGCTAACGGCCACACCCGAGGCCAGAGTATTGGCCTATGAGGCTGTGGGGCTCATACAAGATAACATCCATAGCCGAGGTCAGAGTAATCGCACCCAAACTCCA